GTGACATATGGTCATCGCTTATATAAGAAGATGCTGACGCTTTCATTCATAAGCGCTCAAAACAATGGTGAGTTGCCTTCTCGATCATTTTCAATGAATGAACCCTCTTCATTTAAAGGCAGCGAATTTTCAGAATTACCTATTGTTCGCCCTCGGCCTTTTACTATGTCGAGTAACACTTGCATTTGGAGCTCCTGCAGATGGTTGGTCCCTTCCAGTTCAGTTTTGACTCCATTAAAATATTAAATGATTATATTTCTTACAGCCAACGATGGCGTCCCACTGGAAGCGCAGATGTTGAGCGGTAAGGCGCTCGTCGAATACCTAAAAAAGAGCCAGAATCTCTTCGAGGCAATCACTTTTTTAACTAAAAATGCACTAATTCGGAGTTCTACGTGAAAAATTTTGATTTCCAGGTGAATGATGAACCGACACCTGATTTCAAGTACAAAATAATGAGTAAGAAATTTATGAGCCAGTACCGGAGGAGCCCTCCTATTTTAAACGACAACAATGATACTGACATTCCGGAGAAGTAGGTCGACGGATCTTTTGACTTTGAAATAAATCGCTGTATTTCCTGAGTTATGCAATTTTATACCAACACAGCCTTCTGAAAACCATTCGGGTAGTCAACTATCGTTCGAAATTGTAGAAGTGAATACCGACCAAGTAACACCACCAATGACTTCATTGTTACAATTCTTGTAGTAATGTGCCTGTATCTATCCTTGGATTTCTAATAAAGGGTAAAGCATGAAGCGTGTCGGTGTTGATCAATCCGTTCCGTGGTATGCACCCAAAAAAAATTCAACGGCATTGTGAGCGGATGACTAACCTTCACAGCGATTCGTGGGATCAGGCTATGGGGAACTCAGTAGTACATTTCCCTCCTAGACGAATTTGAAGCCTTTTAACCGATAGTATTTGGAGGGACAATCCTGAAGTTCAAATGAGATGATTTATATAGGTCTGGGAATGTAAAAATACAAAAGTACTCAATCGGGAAAGCAAAGTTCACTCACACCCATTATCGAAAAGGCAAGGCAAAGAGATAGCTCTATCATGCTATAGCAATAGTTGAAATGAGTACCATTTCACAGCTATGATCCTCGCCTCATATGGCCCAACTGCTCGTCACTTTTCACCATCCCTGATCAAGCAAACTGTGGTGAGTACATTTTCAAAACTCCCAAACATATCAACCATCAAAATAGGTCTCGGCGACACTACTGATTCTTCAGGCTCATGCTGGGCTGTGTCAACGGCAGCTGCAATTTCGGATCGTTTATGCATTGCCTCAAAAGGAAAAAATCAGGTTTACCATTAGTATTTGATGTTTTCAGGCTGAACTATCATTAGAGTAAGAAAAAATTCAGGTGTTTATCTCTTCTGCCGACATTTTATCGTGCTGTGGTGATTCCTGCGGTTACGGGTATGATTTGACAAACATTGTGAGCTACTGAAAAGCAACATATACTGTTTTTCAAACGGCACCTTACCCTTCACTTTCCCTACCTCCCAGCGACACTGCCCAATCTTCCTCAACCCTGGCCTAACATCTTAAGCCATACGATCTTTCTTAAAGGCACAGTTCACGATAATTTTGTGTAACCCAGATTATGACGAAAAATGGAAGANAAGATGGAAAATAGTGCAATAGGGGCGAAGGAGCTGCGTGAATTAGTGTTTCCGAAGTGAAAAAAGTCTTCGAGAAATCGTTAAAAAGGGGGCTGGACGAGAATGAGACCAGAAGAATGGAGAAGAGTGGGGCGTTTGGATGAGCTACGCACAGCGCGTCATTGCGTACCTGTGGGTCCTGATGCAAATATCTGACTACGGTAAGCAAAAATTCATCCGCGTATAAGCATAAGTAAACAAAAAAACCTAGTTACACCAAAAATGGCTCACCTTTTTCAGCCTCTCGGATTAGGAAATTAAAAAAGGGAACACGGCAGCAAAAAGAATAACGGAGGAAAAAAGAATGGAAGAGAAACATCGCCTCATCACTCTGCGATCAGCTGATTGTGTGTGGGAAGTAATGGTAAAGTAGAAGAAGTAATGGTGACGTATTGCTCAGAACCACCCTGATTCCGCAAGACGTATCATGAACAGTCAAAGGGGGTAACCTCTGATGGCCACGGTCTCATCATTCACGAACCTGAGATTGGGAGATAATATGAGTTCGAAGTATTATATTTTTGATCTCGCGATTTTATCTTGCCAAATGGATTGGACCGCTCAACAGAGAGGGCCAATTTTTTTCAAAAAATCATAAGGGAGACTTAAAAGAAATGTTCTTTAACTAACGAGGAATATTTTTTGACGATTCAGATGTTATGGTGGAATCACGTTCAGAGCTTGGGAGTACTTTGCAACCAAAGGTAGTGTTAGCGGAGGACACTTTGAAGCACCGGTAAGCTCATTCAGTTATTGGATGCAGTTTATCCTATAGAGGTTATTGAAGTACTACAAGCTGTACTTTCATAAAAGAATTACTAACAGAATTGTTGCCGTCCTTACTATTTTCATCCATGTGGAGAACATGGCAACGATACTTTCTATGGATATTGCCCCCGATTTGCAGAAACTCCATTCTGCAGAAGGAAATGCCGAATCGGCTTTAACAAGTCATACGTTCAGGATAGAATACAAGGTATGCCTAGAAGTAACATTTGGAGAAATACAGTAGCGCTCAAAAGTATTCAGCCAAGCCTTTTCGGCCGTAACTTTTTTCTCAGTCGAGCAAATTGCATGAATGTTGATATGTTTAGCTGAAGCATATTTTACACTGTCCAAAATTACTTGACTGCAAGGCAGCCATATCCACATACTAATGGGGAGGCATTTGTAGACTATGCTGAAAGCAAGTTTGTGACGTCTGCAGTTATTCCGACCTTATGTATGTTTTTCTTCTCTTCTGGGTTCGACATTAGTGCTCGTACACTTAAGACATGGCAAAAAGGAAAGGATACCTAGAAGAACCACCATTCGTTTTCCAGTTGATTTTTTGTTCAAGCCATTTGAGATATCTGGAACATGATCAGATTGCAGATTGATAGTGGTAAATATTCACACTACATCCATGCTGCACATATTGAAATTTTGCTTGGTTAGATCCAGTAGGAAAGGAGTTACGACTGAAAAGTACGAGTGAAGAAGCATTCGGCCGAATACTTTTGAGCGCTGTTGTATATCACCGCACTGGAGAGGGGACCATCTACTCACTGGGGGCCAACTTGGTGAACTGTACAGAATAATGTAGAAAAAATAACTCGAACTAAAATCCATCGATTTTTACTCCATAATGAATGACTTAGTGAAGTGTGGTCGGATTCTCGAGGAATCGTCCCAATCTTCAACCTTAGAGGAGTTTTCTCGATTTGCGTCTCCCCAATTTTGGTTCTGGGACGTAAACGGTAGCAATCAAACCGGATATGTTCAGACAATGTTTGCATACTGTATGCCACGTTTTGATACATAAAAATTACAGGAAAATCCTTCTACACGGTAGAATATTCGGTACCAGCTATCCAGAGAGAAATTATGGCGAAAGGATCGGTTGTTGGTTCCTATGACGTTTTCACAGACTTCAGTTTCTACAAATCTGGAATTTATAAGGTAAATACCAGCCGAATTTCTTCGAAAACAAAAGCTCCTGTCTCAATACTGACTCAGATCTCCTTAGCAATGCCTTTCTTAGTTTCGATTACTATTGAGGCGGGTGTCTTTAGAATGAACGAGAAATCACCGAAAATATGTTGTTTATTTCCAGCACACCGGTGGAAAACCAGATGGACGTCATGCTGTGAGAATAATCGGATGGGGAAAGGAAAACAATACAGACTATTGGCTTATTGCTAATTCATGGCACGACGATTGGGGAGAAAATGGTAAGCTTCCACTGTCAGAAAACCTACAAAAACTATCATAATTTTCTGGCTTAATGCATGAAAATAATATTTATTTATTCAATTATTCATTCAAAATACACACAAAGGAGCGCTTCAGTCGCTTCAGCAAAACGAAACCAATTACAAATTTAAACAGCAGGTCATAAAAACGAAAAAGTCATAAAAACGCACAGTAAGAAAAACCATACCCATAAGTGGACATTCTTTAGGCTATACACGTCTAGAAATCTTGTATGCCTAACAAAGCAAGAAGGACTAACTTCCTCAACTTCTTTCTGAACGCATCGGTATTTCGCGCCTTTTGCAGGTCTAANAAGTCTAGAAATCTTGTATGCCTAACAAAGCAAGAAGGACTAACTTCCTCAACTTCTTTCTGAACGCATCGGTATTTCGCGCCTTTTGCAGGTCTAATGGTAATAGTAGAAGCCATCTTGCTCCACGGGAGTTAGGCAGTAGGATCGGTTTTGCGTAATCGATCCGCCGCACGCGGCTGTCGCGGACCATTTGCCTCGTTATGACAGTTCTAGTGTTATTCATGCACCTCAATCGCAATGCGATTATTACATATAGATGATTCTACTGTTCGTTCTTTTGTTCCTGCAGTTCTTACTTGCTGCTGCACTCTACTACATTCCTTCGTGGCTATCGCCGCGCGCGACGTTTTCGTTCCTACTGCTTCACACCCTTGCTCCACGGAAGAGAAGCAAATCAAATACACAGGCCTTATGATTACTGTTTAGTTTAGGGCATTGCAGTGATAACGAAGTGGTACGACCTCTGCACGGTCTGATTAACCAGTACATACTCGGCCGTAGCTTGAGTTCACCTCTCAGCATTTTCGAACAGAATACTATATCATTGGCACTTTTCTGTACAATGATGTTTTGAACAATAACGTTATCATAACATTTGATATAATAATATGAAAATTTATTTGCCAAAAATTCAGATTAATAACGATAGTAAATAGGAAATAGTTTTATTGAAAGTGATTAATTTTTAAGGTTACTTCCGCATGATTCGTGGAATCAACGACTGTGGCATAGAACAAGATATTACCGCTGGAGATGTTGTTTGATTACGACAGAGAATCAAAAAACTCTTTGGATGAAGCTAAACTTTAATAAACGGCTGTAAGACGTGCAAACGAAATATAGTGGAGTAAATGAAGGTTTCATGTTAGGAATGCGCCATACATTCGACTCCGATTCAAAATCGTAGTGGCGTACTGAATGCGTATGTGGTCTATACAATGGCTTGCGGTAGCCAACCGCTATACAAGTCAGTGCTCTTACACTGTCGAACGAATATGGTACCAATTTCAACCCCCGACTGATTGAAGGTTTGGTTGCCTTGGGCGGGTATCGAACCGGCACGGAGGGCGAAACCCTTTTCACTTATCAAAAACTGATGTAAATGCCTCTACCTATACTTGTTAGAGACAACTCAACTTTTGCCAATGTATCCAAGTGGGGATCCCACATTATGTATTGACTTCGCCTTCCTCTTCACATTTGGATCCACTCTGAAGATCTCTAAATCATGAAGTCCAGTAAGTTCAGAGTATTTTCCAAAAAAAGTAAATGATGATCCAAAATGTTACGGAATTAAAACGAGCAATTTGATTTGCAGCGAATCGCCTTTGTCAATGGAATTCATTAATGATAGGGACACGTGGCGCCACTATCTTACGTAACATCTAAAGACGGAATAAAATAAAGTGTCTTTATGATCAGTTAGGCCAATCATTTTATCAGAATTAACTGTTATCACGGACAAACAAAGTGAGAAGCAGGACCTCTGCTTGTTTTTTAGTTTAAGAAATTATAAGTTCACAAAGGCGGAGGTGGCGGTATGATAAATTGTGCTCATTATCACACACGCATGGTCACATGATCACTTCCTGGTAGATGATCGTCCAGGCCAACCAAGGAGGTAATCCATCCGGTGTCGTTTGATTGGTACCAGATAAGTTTGGGAGGATAAGGCCCTAATATTCTACAGCTCAGCACAGCAAGCTACTGTATAGACCACATACACATTTCAAATGCGACTACGTACCTGAATGGAAGCCGGATGCGAGTTCCCATCTCAGAAACGGTGGTGGTTCCTGATGATTGACTCCTGAGACTTTATTCTTTCTATTTTTAGCACACCACAGTATGAAATACCCAAAAAATCTGACACCGGTAATTACAATTTATGTACTGCCGTTTACACTATCTTTGCTTTATTTTTTAGGTTGATTTTTACATCCTTTGTTACGATGTCTATCTTGTAATCATAGTTACAGCCTTGTTTTTCTCCCATACTTATTTGCTGAGACCAGAGATAGACCTGTCACAGTTTGGTTACCTGCTGCTAGCTGTGTTTAATGGTAACCTAACTGTTGTTCGACTATACTTCCCACTCCTTGTTATCCTTAAGCTTTTTCACGCACTTGATTAACCTACTCTTGAAGGGCAGCCTACCATGGGGCCTCAAACACCCAAGTGAATGGCTTTATGAAGAAAGAATTTCCTAGTGAAGTCTGTATATACTCTGGGAAAAGGCAAATTAACAAAAGCAACAATACAGCGTCGTCTTCCCATGAAGTAACCTGGTCACAATTGACTTACTCAACTGAATCTTTAGATGTATCAGTCTGGAAGGGATTACTCCACACACAGGCGAGTCCGTACCAAGTTTCCTAAAACTGACATGAATGGCGGTATTGGTCCTGAGGGCGATTTGCAAGAAATCCTGAGAATATGGTCTATTTTCCGCTGCCAGGCTGTCTTCTGTAGTGAATAAAATCAGGCTTAAGCAGGTTACTCCGATGTACAATTTGTGTGGACGGAAAAAAGACAATGTTGAACTTTCAGTGAGAGATTATTATCAAGAACCGAACAGACCAGAGTGAGTTCACATAATTATGGGCGTTCAGTTCTACCAGTTGTCGAATACCGACCGCCCTTGTTATGTTGTTTGTGCCAAGCGATCACACTTTTTTGTATCAAGATTGCAATGCCTGTCTGCAATGGTATTTTCACTGTGAGAATTTTGTCAGAAGAAGTTTCGTACCATTCGTAGTGAACTGAGGGGACCCCAGTCAAGTGGGCATTTCGACCATGTTATAGAAAAGAGGTGAGACTGGGTAAGCCAACCGGTGATCCATTGCTGGTCACACATATAAGTCGTAATAGAGGGAATTAGGCATAACCGTGATTGATAGATCGGTTACGATTATGATTTTTGATTTTTTGGTAAAAGGTCAGAAGCAGAAATTACACCACTTCGACGGGTGACTCCAGTTCTGAGTTGGTTATGAGAAACTTGTTCGGCATCATCCAGTGTGACACAAGCATGCCGCACTAGCTAAGCCAGCTGAAACTGATGGTTTTTTAGAACACTATTTTAAACAGTGTGAACAAATATAAAAGAAAATCAGTGAAGTTCATCGTTTTTCATAACTTTGCCCTTGAACCTGAATCTATCCAAAGCGAGACCTGGATGATAGATTACGGAGCAAGTGTTCATTTGCAGGGGATATAATCTCGGATTTGGCACAAGCTAAGTTTGATGTATCATTCTGATGCCGTTCGCTTATGCCTATCTCATCGTCCTGTGCGGAGGCCAAGAGCTTTGAGATCCTTACTTAGATATTCTTCTGTCATGGGCATAGGCTTGACGATGTTCAGGGGCCACATCTGTTGATAAGTTCTTGACCTCCCCATACCCTCAATCATTCTAGCTAATCTTCTGAATGTTTGATATGTGGTCCAATTCGAAGAAAGGACTAAAGGTGGGCATGGACCTGGGTAAATACTCCGTTGTTAAGAGTCCCATCACTAACCAGATTCCCTTCCTCGGTTGCCTAAGTGCTTTCTTCTTCCGAAAACACTTATGGGAGATAGTAGCACTGTATTGGAGAGTAACTGGCTGTGAAATGAGCTACTGGGTATTCTGTCGTGCTTTTAAATCCCCTTAGAAAAGCCAAGTAAATTCAAAAATTGTATTCAAACCCCTTAAGAAAACCTAAGAAAAATCGATTGGGCTCACTCTTCGACGGAATGCTAATGTGTTGACTGGGATAAAAAAATTCTAAAGTCCTGCCAAGTTGAAGGATAATGTTCTTATCTTGCCGGACGAGTTTTGCATTACTTAACGATACTAGATGATTCTAACCACTACAGGCAAAGTTGTACCGATATTTGTATGTATCATCTCCTTACCAATTCAAACTTTCCCTAATTTTCAGTAGTGGCCTCCTCGTCGCGATGGACATCGAACAGCGCATCAAGGCTTACCGCTTCGTTGCCTACACAACGGTCCCGTTCTCGGTGATAGCAATCCTTTCTGCATGCATTATGTTGCCCATTGCTCATATTAACATTAATCACATGAGGGGAACCATGCACAAAGAGCTTCGCTTCTGCATGAATTCTGCCAAAGATATTCGGAGCGAGATAAAACTTCTCAGAAACATTCCAACCGTGAACAGAACTGCTCGTCAAGCAACACCTAGGATGGTCCAAGTATCGGCTAGCCCACGATTAGAAGAAGCAGCGTTTCAAAATATCGACCTCTGTCAATTGTGCTGTCCTCCAGGGGCACCAGGACCAGCTGGACCTCCTGGCCAGCCAGGTCGCCCTGGGAAACCTGGAGCACCTGGTAACCCAGGAATGCAAGGACGACCATCACAGCACCCATGTGAGTCCATTAGCCCTCCACCATGTAAACCGTGTCCAGAGGGTCCAATGGGACCTCCAGGGCCACAAGGACCCGATGGAGATCGTGGACCAGACGGTCGTCCCGGTGCACCTGGAAAAGATGGCAGTCCAGGAGAACCTGGTCCAAAAGGACCTCCTGGACCTATTGGTAAACAAGGAGCACCAGGTGCCGATGGAAAGCCTGGAGCAGCTGCTGACATGGGAGGAATCTCTGGAGAGCCTGGACCAGCAGGACCACCTGGCCCGCAGGGACCACCAGGACGTAACGGACAACCTGGATCTCCAGGACCTATTGGTGAATCTCACTCAAAGCTTTTCCGTTTATCATAATTTGTCATTACAATGATGAACACTATCTTACTTTCCAATAATACATACATTCAGGGCCACCTGGACCCAAAGGAATAAGAGGACCTGACGGCCAGCCTGGTATACCCGGTAAACCAGGATTGCCAGGAGCACGTGGGCCAATTGGAGCTCCAGGAGAGCTAGGAATTTGCCCGAAGTACTGTGCTGTCGACGGTGGAGTATTTTTCCAGGATGGAAGAAAACTTGACAAAAAACGCTTCGCTAAAGGAGGGGTGGCGTAATGGATTCGTCTGCATAAATATTCCATTTCTAAAGTGTCCTGTGTGCACTAATTTCTCGAATGATTTTGAAATGGGCTGGAAAGAGCCTGCCTAGCAACATGGATGTCTACATGATTTATTTGGCTCACCATACCAACTATGCCANNTGACAGTGAGTTTTAGGTCGAATCCAGTTCTACTGGGCTAAATGGGAGCTTGCACTTTCATCTGCCACCAAGTTCATCGTAAATGTTTTACACACAGTTGGAATTTCTACTTTCTTCTGCGACTGATTTTTGGGCGCTGAAAATGCTTGCTTGGCGGCGTAACGTCTCAATGAGAACTGTTTCTGAAGCGAAAAGGAAACATCTCAAAGAAAAACATCTGAATTCGATTAGATAGGAAGTTTTTTGCTACAGTTTCATAAGAAATTTTAGCTCAGTTGATTGATGATGATGTTCGCACATGCACTGAGTACTCTACATCATCACGGAGCCAAAATCACTCATATAGTAGTCAAAGTTGCTTGATTACTCGTGCCCGATGAGCCTCATAAGCACTTTCTGCGATAGCAGTAGGTAACAACCGAGTACAGAAGTGAAATGACTAATACTGAGGCAAAAAGAGCACATAAAGTTTGAGTTAAGATGAGTTTTCAGTCGCAATCGATTTCAGGTATGACTTTGGGGCACTCGACTTACGTTCAGAATTGTAGTGGCGTAATGAGTGCGTATCTGGTTTATATAATGAACTTCGATAGTAACCGATGTACAAGCCAGAGTTTTCATCTTTGCAGATGAGCTGGCACCTGTACCAATCAACCGATCCCAGAAAGACGGAAGGCTCGGTTAACCTGGACAGATCTCGATGCGGAAATAGATATTCGGCCCTTGAACGCCCCTCCCCTAATGAGAGCTACTTGTAGTTAGCGTTGGAGTAGCGAAATTATTACGGCCAGAAGAAATTTACGGAAGGAAGCCTCAGGGCTTTGAAAGTGAAAATAGAGCGCTTTCCTCTTGTTTTTTGTCAAACCATAACTAAAGTCAGTTCTTTATTTGTGCACAGATGAAATTTTTTAAATACCATATAGAAATTACATTCGATAAAAAAAATCGAATGATTGAGTTTACAGTAGTATATAAGCATGTAAAACGATGCAAAAGGTATAATAAAGCTACCTAATAGGCCCGTTTAATACACGATATCCAAATTTAGTTATTATACACGTCATAGGCATATATGTACATGCAGATAGGATTGACAGATCATGTATTACGATAGCACATCGAAGGACACGATAGAGTTAAGATTACTGTAGGCGGTAGCACGCTCAGCACCATGTTCATAACTGCAAAGAAGAAGTATTCAATTATTTTCCAAGTATCAGATCGGGTCAAAACACTAACAATAAGCAGGTAGCCCAGGCAGCCCTCCCACACGCTTACTTAATCTGGAAGAGATAGGCAACGGAAAAATCACAGGGAAACGTGATTTATATTCAAAACCGGTACGCTCCATTCACTCAAAGCTGAGGTTCGCAGAAATTGAAATTCGAAAATTCGGACACCCTCGGAGCTTCTTCTTCGCGGAGACCAGCCTTCAAGTCTTTTCAGGGTCTACATTTTTGAAACGTGGGCTGAGCATTACTCTATAGAATCGCTACTACAGTGGCGACCCATTGTAGGGATGGTAACGAAGCGAAACCTAGCCTTCTCTGTTTCAATCCTCGATGAGTTAGGCTCAGGGAATATCGAAGTATGATACCCAAATTTCAGTAATATGGCGACTCGATAAAGTTTGTAACTTACCGACTAGCTTTTCGAATCAGTCAATTGTTGATTCTCAATAGAATTGTCTGTGATGCCATCCATCGTTCGACGAGCACTGCAGTTTCCCCTGAAAAGGTGAGAGCATTACAAGTGATACCAGTATCACATCTGGCAGTAAAAACTTACAAAAGCGCAGCTTCTTTTCTTCGAAGACACGGCAGAGCGCGTTTGAATTGGGCTTGATTGAAATAAAACCAAATCCATGGATTCACAAAACTATTCAAATTTCCAAAGAACATGATGTATGTGGCGAATGTTGGATCTAAATTGCAATATACACCACCTTAGACAAGAATCTGACCGAAATTAGAGTTTTTTCCTTGCCAGCTATCTGCCTACTTAGCGGGCTGTACGTCTTCCCCTTTGCTTGTTTGTCTGCTTGAACCAAGGCCCTCGAGATGTGGGTGGAGCAAGACTCGCAAAAGGCGAAAGCTATGTTCACCATGAAAGGTGGGAGAGGGGAAGGGAGGGGAGTGTGCTAGTATCCCGGGGATAACAGAGGGAGAATTGACTCCTTCATACATGAGGTGGGACAGTTCTTAGCAGTTGTCTTACTGCACGAAATGCCGCTTCTATATATCCCCATCATGTCCCATCATTGACCACAGGGCCTGGTTCGATGAAAGCAAGGGCGTATTATGCCAAGTTCTATTTCACGACATTCATGCCGAGTTTTCCAGGGATGCTGACCCCCGACAGAGGTACCTAGGCATGACTTTCACAGGAATTGGGAAGGTATGGTGAATAGCAGGTTGTTTGGCCATTAGTCGGAAAGGAAATTTCGCAGATTAGCCGCTTTTCACGACCAAAAACACACGAAGCCAAGAACTCGAATTGGCAAGTGGTTACTAGACTCGGCTTCCTTCTCTAGCGAAGCTCTTACAGACTCTCCTACATCTTGGGATTAATTTTTTTGCAAATCACTCACTAATTGCTGTTGGCCACAGAGCGTCAATGACCGACGTGATGCAGAAAGGTGCCCAAAGAATAAAGTTAGCAGCAACGATCGTCAGCGTCAACTTTACAGTTTGCACTCTCCGTCTGTCCAACTCTACGCATTGCATTGTTGCTCCTGAAAGCGGAAACTTAGAAATTGTCATTTGGTTACGGTATGCTAAGCTACAGTAACCTCACTGTGAACTTAAAGAACTCAAGATGATTACTCTACTTCTCCAATTCAAAAGAATCTCATTCATAAGAATCAATAAGAAGGGTGTTAATAAACCGACCTTTATGGTGGACCTGGCCAGCCGAAGGGATCATAGAAGCACATTTTCTGAAAGACAGCAATTTAATTTATTTATACCATGAAATGAAATTTTTACCGTGCTCACCCATTTGTCTGAAAAGTGCTGCCGAAGGAGGTACTCTGCCATACGGCTCTACAGACACGGTAGTATAAATAGCCAGCAAGAGCACTTGGTAGTAACCAAACAACTGTGTTGAATACGGTCACGTAGATAGCGTACTGTAATGAATCCTAGCTATAGTGAGAGGCTTCGTCGGAAAAGTCGGAAACTTACCTGATATGCACTCGTATAGGTACCCATACAATCGCCGTCAATCTTAGCAAATAGCCCAAATTGTGGCGCTGAAAAAAGCACAGCCATTGTCCACGCGATACTTGCATAGAGGGCAGGACGTTTGTAGGCGTTTGACTTCATTGACGCCAATGGACGACAAATTGCCTGAAATNCGTAGATAGCGTACTGTAATGAATGCTAGCTATAGTGAGAGGCTTCGTCGGAAAAGTCGGAAACTCACCTGATATGCACTCGTATAGGTACCCATACAATCGCCGTCAATCTTAGCAAATAGCCCAAATTGTGGCGCTGAGAAAAGCACAGCCATTGTCCAGGCGATACTTGCATAGAGTGCAGGACGTTTGTAGGCATTTGACTTCATTGACGCCAATGGACGACAAATTGCCTGAAATAGTAACAAATTTAGTAGAAGGCTTACAGTAGTAATGGGTGGTCAGGCTCCCTTCTGAAGTACGCACTGCACACGTCTCTCAATGAATATCACCCAAATACTTGGATGTGCAGTGGGCTTAGACGAAGGCATGGTGGACTGGATCCAACAACAGTTAGAGAGATTTTTGATAAGAAAATGTAGAACGCACAAAAAACTGTCAAAAGGCCTAGAATTCGGAGCAGACGAAATAAAAGCGATTTTTTGAGCATGTAGGAGTTCGTCATATTACCCCTTTACGGATATTTCTTTAATTGAGTATAAGCACCTTTCAATACATCATAGTGGGTTCGATAGTCACCCACGGCGAATAATTGGGATAGCGTCGACTTGGGCTGGCGTTGCTGCCAACCCGAGTTTTTTCACTTTCCCAATCTCCGTAGGCCTCCCAGCCCCCTCTCCCGGTTCTAGAGAGCATTCAGAATCGTTTTTCACGGCTAAATCACATACCCGATGGTTGGCTGTCTGATGTGGGCCATGATTTGAAAGGAATCACCGTAGAAAACAATCATCGAATATTTGTTTACCATTGAAGCGAGCGAACAATATCTCTTTGAATTAAGGCTAGATTGAACGTAAATGAATAAAAGCCTATTTAGCCGTGGGAATCAGGGTCATTTCCGAGTCGCTGTACATTTTCCTGGAACCCAAACCCAGGAAACACTATTCAATGTAAAGTCAATTGCCTGAACGCATGAAAGGAGTTTGGGTTTCATTGGGGGAAATGGACTGTGAAAAGTTTTGAAGAACGGTTCCAGACGCATCTGGGAGGTTAGGAGTACTGATTAGTTCATTGGTTTAAACTTTCAAGGCTTTGTGTCAGTAGAGCGCTCAAGGGCCATTGTTAAATTACGCCGAATTAGTGTTTTTTCCTTTCAAGGGAATTCATGGGTTAGGCTCATTTCAGATGCAAGATCGATAAGTGAATTTCAATACTTTATGTTCCGAGTTCCCAATGCTGCGAACTAGTCCGTCCCTATGATTTTCCGCTGCCGCACAGGTCTACTACCGTACTACAGCTTCGAGTTGCGAAGAATTTCCTAACGGAAACAGCATCTGAACAGCGGATGCTCCCTCCACAGCATGGAAACTGTGTAGCTTGTAATTGAGAATGGATTTTAATCTCGATTTTCAGTTTTTTTTTATAATTTTTCAGTCTTGCTGATTACTTCTAATATTTTAACATACATACATTCTGAAGCCATATAAACTCCCTACCTGGAAGCGATCTGCGCTGATAGCCACAAGCAGAAATGAGCTTGCATACATCGGTAGAACCTGAAAACCAACCACGTATTGAACGTTCGTTATGATAAAGGAAAAGAACCCAGAGAATGAGGAAAATCCTGAACCGGAGTGCGAGAGGAGAATCAAGACTTAAGAGGGTAGGGGTCATGACAGATAGGATTGATTTAATTGAGCTCGATCAGCCTCGAACCATTCTGAGCACTTTTTCCCATCGCTATTGTTTGGAAGATGTCGAAGCTATAATAGATGCAGGGCAGAAGAGCGGGGAAATAAATCATAGTACCCTCTAAGCAAAGGGGCTGTACTGGTAGAAGGAGATATCGAAGAAGAGTTGTAATACGTGCTCTTCAGTCCTTGACTATAGGGCCTCCTTAATTTTGGAGAGCCTACATCCTTTTCCCGACGCTGTGCTTACCGCCACTTTTTATCCTCATTCATTTTTAATCCTTTATTCTACAATAAAGAATATTGGTTCGTATGGAATTCATGTTCCGAATGTGAATACTTCTGCAGTTTCAGTAGTGACTTCCAAGAGGATCTTTACCCTGTCGTTCAGTTACCATATTTGGCTATAGCATAAACCTACTGGGTAACATCAATCAGCTATAAACCACGAATAACGGGATCTTCGTACCGAACAATAATTAGCTATGGCCAAATACGAATACTTAACAAAAATTAGCAAGCTGCCGGAGTCGGCCCTCATTTTACGTCCCCATGACTCGCAATTACTACGACAATCTTTGAGCGAAGAGTAAAAACCAGAGAGAGCGAGACCAAGTTCCGTCTGGGCCATATACAGTGATGGCAGAAAAAACCAGCTCTAGTAATTGGTCCGAATTGTTATCAAACTAATTTCTGACCCTAATCCTCTATGAAAAGTAAGTAGGGGGAATATGAGAATCGTCCCTACCGAATAAACGACAAACGATTGGGTGAGAAACTGAAATTCGTCTCGGAAAACCTAGTTTTCATCAATATGGAGCAAGTCGGGGGTTGATAACAGTCCATCCCAAGGATAAAAAGTCGATTTAATCAACATACTAACACCAGGCAATCCTTAGAGAAAAAGGTTCGGAAGGCATGCTGTATCTGGATCCAAGGATGTATGGGGATAACCCATACATCAACTCGATGCAGAAACAGTGGCATGTTCACAAGATCTGTATCTAGCACAACAACCCCTCCTGATTAAGAAATCCACGATTGCCCACTAGGAAAGCCCCATTGATAAAGAGCAAGAATGAAAAGTCTTACCTGGAGAAATTTGACAAATTTGCACAGTATATCAGGCCCGTAGAAGATTGGCACGGTGGCTGTGATAGCCATTGTTGGTACCATAGTAATTAGAGCAAACAGCAGATCGGCAGCGCACATATGGAGCATCAACATCTGAAGTAGTACAGATTTTTTACTGTCACATGAAAAGGTGGCTGAAGTTTTTGAAGAAGTTCGCAAACTCTTGCAAAAGTTATTCTAGCAACTCCCAGGTCGACGATCTGTACAAATAATCGGAAACGGTATGTTCCGCTTTCTCAAAAACCAATTACTGCAATCTTTTCCAATTTCTACTAGCTTCCGCAAGTTGATGTCACCTAAAACTATTTGCAGAAAGCATTCACTCTACCGAGCTCATTGTTGTAACTAGGCTATTCAGATGATTGAAGGGGTTCAGTAGAACTGTCCCTTGTGAAAATGACATCCATGGCTAACCAGGACATCGAATTTCCTTCTAAAGACGCTTATCTTCTTTATGGTAATTCCGATCCGAAGAAAAATTTGTCCTGAGAGGAAATCAATCCCCTGTAGTGTGCCCCGATTTTACCTTGGCCGATTGAATTGCCCAGACGGTTTTTTCTTTTGAAGAGTTTCTTGTAAATAGATGGCGGGAGCTAAGGCGCAGTCATTTGAGTGCAAATGAAAAGGAAAAATGAGGTTGATCATTCCAGTAGATTCTCGTCTGCTGATAGTGCACCATAACCTACAAAAACAATCTAAACCCATTTCGCAATAGTTAGGAAGTCCCGGACGAAGGCATTACTGAAAAGGCCAAACGATGCTCAGCGGGGCGGCGATACACGTGTACCTCTCTGACTTCTTTCTGCTACAGAGTAACTAAGTAGGATATTCGTTTTATCACTTTTGAGCAGTACTGATCATTGCAAAGTACCCTGCCTTCATTTCTATCCCCAACACGTATGGGCGCTCTATTTCTGGAGCAAGGGTAGCTGTGGTTTTCCTGACAAACATAAAGATACCATGGTCAACTGAACGTAATATAATGAGTAATGTAATGATGATTGCCCCCAATTATTGCTCCCGTGGGGCTTACCCAATGCCTGTCTGGATCCGTCTCATGCAGTATGAGTAGTAGTATTATTTATCCTTGGTACTATCACAGCTGTACTATCTGACATAATAGTGTAGGGACACCGCGATGGTGCCATAAGGTGTGAGCACTCGTGTCGCATGAGATTGAGAGGTTTACTGCACTAGCTGTTGCTAGCCCTGTCCGATATGACTAAAGAGCACTTGCACACTCATTCGCATTACGTAGGAGTTGCTCACCTGTACAGGAGTGACACGTTTACGACGTCGTACGAAATTGTTCTTCAGGATCACATAGATTAGAAGGCAATTACCAATGATGGTAAGGAGAATGATAGCCATATGATGGAGCATCATCCACTCGATAGCCGGAGGCTCCATAAAGTCGACGCCGTTCTGCTCTCCGCTCGACATTCGCAGGATCAACTAAAACATGAACAGTCTAAGTGAAACACTCCCAATTAGATTCACACATTCCAGCGCATGATATAACCTATGGCGCATCGAAAAATAGAAAATCTAACAGCGTTCAGAATTTGTCTTTTTAGAACCTTTGACTTATAACAAGCAGGAACTGAAGGATCGCTAACCGCTGCGGGCCAACATAGTTTGACATGCCCATGGCGGCTACGGTACTAACAGTCATCTTCATAAGGAACCACTCGGAACAGCAGGGCACCAGGACCGGGGAACTTAAAGATAAAACCAGTTTTCATGACCATTCGGGAGCACAAAGTGTCTGGTGTCCAACAATTTCCCAGTATGTGCCACGTACTCGATTCCTCTTAGGAACCTGGGAAGGTTCACTAAGGTTGTACCTTCACGTCTTAACAATGAATCTATAAAAAATACAAATACAAAGGAATCAATGAGAAACTCGTAGTAGAGCTTTTAGCTGCGTATTTGACGTAAACATTAACTGTTCACGGAAGCGGATGTTTAATTGAGGGTTTTTTCCCAAGTGGCAAACATGATATCAATTAATCACAAGAGAATGTGGAAATAGACTCGTCTTCATCTGAGGGATGAATGAAACGTAATGGGAAGAAGAATGCGAAAGAGAGCAGAGGCTGTCCCATTTCTCCGAAATTTCACAAAACAAAAACATTTCCTTTGCTTAATTGGGAAAAATGACATGAAGGAAGAAGTACTTAAAGAGGTGAAACGGACGAATTGGCCAGTGAAAGAGTAATAGCATGTCAGTCCGGCTCAATACGTTATGTATGAGCGCATGCGTAGGCAATGGCAATAAAAGAGATGAAGTTTCTGACGTTGATCGAGCTCTTATTAAGATGCCCCATGTTGTAGCTCACAAGCACATTAGGTTTGCAATATTTATTTATTTATTTATCCAATTTGATGAGTTGATGAGCCGAATGATCGACGAGCCAGCGCAACCACCTTCTAATACTGCTATAAAACGATTAACCTTAGGCACGAGTTGGTACTTGCTGGATTCGATCTTCTGGGGGATGTTCCAAGCCCTGAGCCGTTACTGTGCTGTCGAAGGTGCCGCTTTCTACGAACCCATCCTTGTTTTTGATGTAACCATCCTAGAGCAGACAACCCGAAATCCAATTAGTTATGAACTTCCCTTGAAGGCTCATGAGCTAGCTCTTGACACTCACAACGTGCCGGAAAGCTTAGGTAGCGCTTCTGGCTTATACATTTTCAGTCCCTAACCTTTTGAGATATCTGAGCCCCCGCTCGCTCGAGGATAAAACTGGGTTTCAACGAGGATAGCCCAACTAATGCAATAAATACTAGAACAGTACACACCAATAACCCGAATTTCTTTATCGAAGAAAGGAAAACGCTTCTCAATGAATTTTGTTTTCAGATACGTAGCCATGTGGAGGAATTACGAAGTCACTGCCTTATAAATTATAGTTCCAGAATATTCCATTTGCTACATCGACAATGTTCCTTGGCTGGTGTATTCAGTAATATCATAGAGCTGAACGTGAGCTTAGTAAAGGGTTAGGCATCCATGAGCTCATGCGCACGATTCTGATTTCAAGTGGTACGGATAAGTTAGTTCGAGTAAGTTGAGACAATCTTGCTAGCGAACTGGGACAGGATCAAATTCGACACCGCTAAATAGGACGTCCAAGAACCGCCCTAGGCCTCAGCTTAACACTCTCGAACTCAATCTCAGCTCTTGGGCAATTAATCATAGGACAATACAAAGAGGAAGGCACGAACCCCTTCAGTTACTCCCTGTACATTATCAAATGGTTGGCAAGTACAACCCTTTTTTTACTTGTGGAGCTGTTTTGTCCTTCAACGAACCAGTATGAGTTGCAGGCTCCAGCATTGCCCATTTTTAACTCAGCCACTAACATCGATAGAAGATCAGACTCAGTTATGTGAAGAGAGAAGGAACAAGTGAACTTGAGAAAAAATTGGTTTTCAGAATACTCAAGACAAGCGTCAAACGGTCATGTTGTGGCAAGTGGTGCACTACCACCCATGTATGGTCCAGAGATCGAATCCAGAAAAGACAGCTGCCGAGCCCACCTAAGCCTTTTACGGGTCGATTTATGGTCTCAAAATAAAAGCTCCGAATGGTACACCGGGTAGCCACCACAAGTCAGGGAATAGATCAAACCACATTGAAAACGCCAATGCGATCCTGAATGGAACTCGAATATGAGGGCCCATCGAAAAAACAGGATGACTGACTCCAGAGCTTCTATCCCTCACTCTTTTTGAGATCAAGCATCGAAACTGCTCGCAAAACCGACAAGGTGATGGCCAAAGATTGGCTCGAGCTTAATTGTCAGCTAATTCGCATGCGTAACGTCACAAGTAGGAAGTTCAATAATTGCAGAAACACGACGAATGCATGCAAATTGTCCGTTCGAAAGTTAATTAACTTGAAATTACATTCGAAGAAGGTGAAGTAAATGCAGAAATGTGGTGATAGATATGACCGCAAGTTGAAACTCATCAACTCGAAACTCTGCTGAAAACTAAAAGGAGAGAGAGAGCTCTGCCAATTGGGTGAAAATGGAGTCTGCGTTGTTTTCGACATACAAGAGCAAAAATGATTGAATTACATGCTTCTACGTAGCCACGGAAATGCTATCACAAAAATGATGGCAGCATTTGTGTGATTATTCACTTGTATCTACTAAATATCCAGGAAATTCGAATATTCTGAAAGGAAGTCAAATATGAAAACTCGCCATTCTGCAGATTGAAAACCTTATCTTCTCTTAACTAAGAGCTAATAACTGAAGTTGCAGAGCGTACATTAGGCTGTGTGGAAGGTATCTGCCAAAAATTCCACTGTAGCCAGAGTTTCTCCCAGGATTTTCAAGAAAAATCTATAGAGATACCATAAAAGGGCACTAGTCACTTGTATGCGCATAATATTTCGGAATAATTTGTGATGCAGCAACCGGTTGATTAGACTGAAGCTCATTTTCGACCTTTCCATGAAGGCTGTGGAGCACTGGAACGAGAAGTTACCAGAACTGCTACAAGAGGGACTTCAAAGGCAAGTGCTTGACCCTAACTCCAATGGGTGTCAGCTGCGGGGTGTTACCAGTGTAAGCGTGGGTAGAGCCCCTACAAGGGAATCTCGCGGAAGGTTCCAGGGAATCTCGGCAGAAAACAAATTTATAGCAAAAGGTCTAAGAGACAGCACAGCACAACCTATTACCTACATTGAATCATAAGCTATTTATCTATGCCGATAGTTTGCACTCATACTAGTTATCTCATATTAAAAAGGATGAACGATGAAGTATTTAGAGCAGGCGGAACTGGCCAAGCGGCTCCAATTACCCGTACGTTCCTGGAATCGCATTTCGGACCGACACTTTCCTAGCCTACCCGGGTTTTTCCATACTTTCAGAGCCAGTTACTCGGTGCCAGACTGGTCCAGTGAATCATTGTATAGGTATTTAAAAAAACGGCATTCATCATTGGCCGAAGGACTCAATTCATTCTTTTGATGAACCGTTGAATTGCTTGTATGGAGGTTATTGGTTCCCATGAGCATCTTCCTAGGGCTTTGTGCTAGCTCCGAAGGTGACATCATGGAAAGAATTGCTTTCTCCAGAGAAGCAGTTACTGATACAGTTTCCGTTTCGA